TACTCATTCTCCCGACGTTCCAAACCCCTGAGACCTTCATTCATTTTTGGAACACAAATGAAGATATTTTAGATGAAATCCGACAGCTCACTCATCTATAAACAGCAATGGTCATGAGATGTTTAAAGTACAGAAATAAACCAAAAATGGTGTCAACACTTTTAATGTGAGCAAGAACACTTTTGTGTGCCAAACAATCTGACGCTGAAGAGAAGAACTATAAAAATGCCAATGAAGAGTATTTTTTAGATTATTTTGGCACACAAAAGTGTTCTTTTGAACTTCATATGATAACAGTTGAGAAATAATTTGACAATGAATTTAGGTCCTCTTTCTGGACTTTAAACATCTACAGACTCACTGTATATAGTGACAGAGCTCTTGAATTGTAAAATGGCATCAAGAGATTGGAATGACATGAAGCGGAGTAATTAAAAAGCCTATATTATGCATAAAAAAATGTGATATTTTGGTTTCGGTGTTCTCCAACAACAGACTGATATGCATGCAACTTGATGCAAGGTCAAAAAACACTTTCATTGTCTTATCATATGCATTTATGTTTACCTAATTAACCCAACGATGATTTATTTATTTTCAAACTCCACCTTAGCATGATCTGCACTGATTCATTTGATGACCCAGTCTATTGTGATTGGTCGACTGCATTCTGCACAACACACGCCCACCATGGCTTATCAACATTGCTGAAGTAGTCAGAGTGCAGAGTATATGTGTGAGCCCAATGGAGGAGTGTAATGCAGTTAAACACCAGCATATTGCTCTATTCTTAACCATAAGAAATAACAAAGACAAACATTCAGAATTAATCCACACAGTGGCAAAAGCAGAACTATTTTGAAACTTGACCACCGCATGTAGGAACAGCTGACGGTGGCCATAGCAATGACAAACGGCAGTGGATCGCAAGCTCACAAACGCATTTAAATCTGTAAAGAAAGTGACACACGCTGTGTTTTAGATGAGATATGTGAATATAAAAAAGTTAACCAGATACTGTTGTGGATCGATTACAAATAACAAAACACAATTAAATTGATATTTTGCAAGCTACAGAAAATAAGGAGCCAACCATTGTAATCTCACTTACACTTATAAAATGAAGGAAGGAACTGATCCACGAACTGTGTACTGTAAAGTTCCTGTCAAGCTCTGACAAAGACCCATACATCAACAGTCATTTCTGATCCTTCCTTTGACAAATGGCTGACGAATCCCCCATTGCAGGGTAGAATATTACATGAGGGTGCTTTCACACCTGTGAATCGATTCAGTTGTTCCGAAACAGAGATTAGAATTGTTACATTGTTGCTCTTTGCTCTTGGAGCGGTTCGCTTTCACACTGCAAAGTTTCTAATCGGACCAAAAGAGCTAAAACAAGTCACGTGCGAGTAAACTCTCCTCACATTGGTCAGAGTGTCAGGGTTTATTTTGCAGCGTCCCGCTCAGCTGTCAGGAGAGGTGGTGGTTTGGTGGTGATTGACAGGGTGCGCGCGCGTGACGTGTCTGAGGAGAGACACGGTGGGGAGGGGTGAGAAGGGTGCGCGATGATGCCTATTTGAGGACTGGGAGAGAGACACGAGATTACCGGGAGATCATCACTCGTTTGCGGGCATCCGGAGACTCGCGAAACTTCCCGCCCTACTCATAATTCTCTCTTCATATAGCCGTAAGCCTATTACATATCCATAAAACACTGTGATATAACCGCGCTCGGATCGGATCGCTTTCTCACTGCAATCGAACCGCTCCTGGGTTCGTTTCAATCGAGCCGAGACCACCTCATTCAAGCGATCTCGAAGCGATTACTTTGGCGCGGAACAGAGCGCGATTGCCCTGTTCACATATGCCAATTGAACCGCGCTAACTGGGCAAACGAGATACGTTCCGAAACAAAAGTGTAAGTGTGAAAGCACCATGAATCACCAGAACGTTCATTCATATTCAGTCATAATCAGTTCAAAAAACACACCCGCACTCTGCTAGTGTGTGAAAGGAAAGGCAACGTTCTTGCTTTACTGAATCCGGTACTACGAATTTGGTATTGTTTCGTGTCAACGTCGATACGAATAGGCAAAAGATCTGGACGTACAACAAATCATTTAAACGACTCGGATTTGAATCTTTTATTAAAAAAATTTATATTTTTAAACAAGGAGCACGTTCAGGTTTAAACCTCAGCTGGACGTTTTCATCCACTTAGTACTGTTTTGCACACTGCATGGAAGGTCATTTTCAAAAACCCATAATAGGGGCTCTTTAAAAGCATAATTATATGTTTTTGCATGAATTAACCACTTTATTGTATGTTATTGTGATTCAGAATTATTATAAATAATGAAATAAAACATACATGTAGACATAAACATCTCAATATTATGATGCAGAATTTACATCCCTTGCTGTTTTTCTTGGTTTCACACCATATATTTTCAGATCATCTCAGAAAGAACCTCCCTTTGTCTTGACAATAGGCAGACTTCTGAGTATGCTGGTTAAACCAGAGCGCTGAAAACATTTCTTGGGGATTTTTGCCTATGCTGACTCACTTCATGCAGTTCATGCTGACTTTTCAGCTGCACATTCATACTTTAAAGCCTTCGCTTTTCTAGTTCTAAATGCCACTGGAGTAAAATTTGAAAATAGGTAGTTTATGGCTATATGGGGAAGCACATAATCAAAGCAATGCTCAGGCAACCTGCGTCATTCAGCTGATGCTCGGCTGGTTTAATGTGTCACACACAAAAAAAAAAAAACATCTCCAGTGCTGCTACACCAGCGTCACCGCTGTGCCCTGTTGACACAAGGCAGGAAGGATGTGTGGATTTACGAAGAGCCAGATTCTGACCATACCATCTGCCTTTTGCAGGCAGGATTTTGCAGGCCATGCAGAGTGTCTATCCAATTTTAGCAATTCATATTTGGTGATCATGTGCGAATTGTAGCCTCTTTTCCCTCTTCTCAGCTGGAACTAAGCTTCTTTGCTTGGGATTAGGACAAAACTTGGACGAGCTGCATACAACACTACAGACAACAGATTCATCCTCACAAGAGCATGCCTGCTGCTCATATTTCCGATAAGTTACAAGCATGACCTTTTTAGATAACAATCATATTAAATATTGCTGCACTGATCCCAGAACGTCTATGTGGAATATGTTTGCACTATTCCCTGATGCCAATCTTGAGGAGGACTACCTGGAAGGCAACATCAATTATTCAAACACTGACAGTTATTGACAGTCAGGTCTGGTGGTGTCTTGCATATTCTTAATGTACTGTTCTAACAGAGTTTCTTTGCCTAATCGCTTCCTCATCAAGGGGCCTGGAGGCTCTTCCGTTGGCCCTCAGCTTTTAGTTTGCATCTGGACATACAGGTGGCGGCTTGGCAGCTGCACAATGTCAGTAGGAAAAGCATGAAATCAGACTTTAAGAGGTTTATTCTACTCTAAAAGCTGTCAAATATTTTTCTAAATCATGTGGTATTGTGCCATATATGATTGTGGATGCGACAAAAATGCACAGTGCTTGTTTTGTTTCCGATTTAATTATTAGGTTATCAATTTTAAAACTTTACACTTTGTTGATGGCTCCCGCTTAGCCACTTTTTGGCTTTTCTTCTGGTTTTGATGTTGTCTGTGTTAAATCAGTCAGACAAACAAATGCAGCATTTGCCTACAATTGTAAATTGCTTGACATTCACTGGACATGCAACTGGAAAAGGAACATTTTGTCTAAGGGGTATACACATATCGCTGTGATTTGTAATAATTAACTTTTTCTTAAATTATATATATAGAGAGAGAGAGAGAGAGAGAGAGTATGTATTTGATGCATGTACTTTATACTAAATATTAATGCCACTTGGTGCATTTGAAAAATTAAAGCATATTTGCGAACAAACCTCTTAGTTTAACCTTCAGTCATCACACTCTTTCTTATAATACTTCATATCCTTACGATAGCCTTTGATAGGGGTTGACAGTTAAGAGTTCACTTGTGCTACAAGCACTTGAGTTTAGCTTACCTGTCCAGAGGAACTCCCCAAGTTCAGGGTCTTGATTGAAACGCAAATGTTCCATCAAATTCCTGTTTAAAATGCACTACACGTGTCCAGTTTTGTTTTACAATGTTGTTTGTCTCTGTATTAACCCTGCACTTCTGAAAAACAACTCTAAATTCTCAAGTTTCCACGTGTTAGCCATCAGGCTATCCCACTTAGCTAAAAACAATTTGGATTCATGCTGCAAAGCCACGCCCACAAGCTCGCGCTATTGGTCGAGTGAATATGATTTGAGCAGACCTGAATATTTACTAAACACTTTGGGTTACAGTTAGTTATTTTTTATTTTTATTGTTTTGTTTTTGTGGCCTAGTTTTATTCATACTGTGCAAACGTGGTTGTTGTTGATTTTCCATTGCCCTTTCCATGAAACCATTCAACCTTCTCTAAAAGTTGTCCTATTTTCAGTTGTTGTATTTTTTTCTTGTAGGTTAATGCTGCTAATTAAGTAAAGATTTTTTATGTTATACAAACGGTATATACAATTAGAGAGCTGTTTGTAATATTATAACTAAAGAGAACATGAAGAAACACTTAATTGACCACTGCCTATCTAACATTCACTGGTCACAGTCACTAAACTCAATGAAACAGCATTCTTGCAAATGACTTAACTAAGTCTTACATAGATTAGCCTATTATTGTAAGTTTATTCATTAATTTCTATGGCACTTTTATTTATTAAAATTATATTTTTAAAAACTGTTATGCATAAATCACTGATATTACATGATTGTTTACCTTAGAAGACGTGCTAAATAAAATGGCATTAGCCCACAGATACTCTAAAATGAAAGCAGTCCCTTATGTATAATTATATCACAGAACCCTCTAGTGGTGGTATGAAGAAGTGCAGGAAGTGTGCGACGCGTCACTAAGTTCTCAGAGCTGGAGGAGGAGACCTGGAGCACTGGGGTCCACGTTGAGCCTCTGTGATGCAGTTTGGAGTGTTTGCTGAGGATGCCACAAGAAGTAGCCTCTCCATGTGACATGCAGTGCACCGCCACTGTGGTTATGTAAAGCTTATTAGATCATTCTACCTCAGAAACAGGTGTAAAAATGCTTTCAGTTATCTTTCAGGTAATGGATAAAATTGTAAGTGTGATTAGATGTTCAAGAGACAGCATCTTATAAATAGGCTATATCTTGGATCATTTTGAAGAACCTGAATCTGAAGACACCTTCTCAGAGTGACGATGAAGAAGATGATGATGATGAAACACACAACGAACAGACCAGACAACACCATCGAACCGAAACAGTAAAAGTCGTCTTTATGGAGTTTGAAAAATGACATTTTCTAAACTGCTGAACGAGAGCAAGGATGAATTCCCCTCGGACTTTCTCTCCAACATCAGCAACACCACCTGTGAGGGCATCACCCTCGACTCTCAAGTCATCGGCGTGGGAATCTTTCTGGCCATTTTTATCTCGGTGGCCATCGTTGGGAACATTTTGGTTATTCTCTCGGTGCTGTGCAACAAGCATCTGCAGACGGTTACTAACTTCTTCATTGTGAACTTGGCCATAGCGGACCTTCTGCTGAGCATCATCGTGCTGCCGTTCTCCGCGTCTCTGGAGGTGCTGGGATGCTGGGTGTTCGGTCGGGTCTTTTGCAACATCTGGGCAGCGGTGGATGTGCTCTGCTGCACGGCGTCTATTTTAAGTTTGTGCGTTATATCTATAGACAGGTACATCGGGGTAAAACACTGCCTGAAATACCCCACTATCATGACCGAACGGAAAGCGGGTGTCATACTTGTGCTAGTGTGGGTTTCTTCGATGGTCATTTCAATCGGACCGCTTTTGGGATGGAAGGAACCTCCACCTTCAGATGAGAGCATCTGCAGAATCACGGAGGAACCGGGTTATGCTCTGTTCTCCTCCTTATTCTCCTTCTACCTCCCGCTCATGGTGATTTTAGTCATGTACATTAGAGTATACATCGTGGCCCGCAGGACTACAAAAAGTTTGGAAGCGGGCGTGAAACGGGAGAGAGATAAATCAATGGAAGTGGTGCTGAGGATACACTGCAGGAGCATGCCGGAGGACTCGAGCACGAGTTCGAAAACCAAAAATCACCCGTTCAGAAGTTCACTGTCCGTGAGACTCATGAAGTTCTCCAGGGAGAAGAAAGCTGCTAAAACCCTCGCCATTGTCGTGGGGATGTTCATTCTTTGTTGGCTACCGTTTTTCTTCGTTTTGCCTTTAGGTACGTAAAAGTTTGACTGTTCTGTGTTTGTTGTGAAACGAGCATAAATAGCTCTGTTGTAAGTAAATTCAAACTAAATTAAAGTTCATTGCGCTTCCTGCATTCTCAAAACGCAAACACAACAGAAATAACTCTGACAAAGTGATATTTAAAAAGTCAAAAATCATTTAAAAAATATTATAATAGTTTTAAAAAGTTCATAAAGAGTTCCGATGCAAAAACTCCGTCTGAAATTTCTTCTAAAATGAGCATTTTTCTCAGCCTCCTATGTTTATGTTCAGTTTATGTGTATGTTCGTGCATATTTCACTTTAGAGGGAACGAAATAATTTATTCAAAGCCTTAAATGTGAATTTATGAACACAGGAGCCTCAGACAATGGTTCATTTTAGTAGAAAGTTTCAGACAGCAAGGTTTTTGCAGCTGAACTCTTCAAATAATGATTAACAACAATATGCGAATTTTGCTGAATAAAAAAAGGCAAACATATTTTTTGATTACCACATGACGTTGAAAATAAATTACAAAGCTGTTGGATTCATGATATTCTAGCAGAGACATTTGATACTGCTAAGAAATGTAGGCTATGCTCCATAAGAGATATCTTATTTATAGGTATGTTTCATATGAGATTTAATTTGTGGCAAATTATGTTTGTTGATTATAACTATATCTTTGTCTGTTTTAGAAAACTTTGAAATTAAATTTTGGGGGGGAAAAGATATTTATTCAAATTTTCTCCTTTTGTCTAAAGTAAATTTGTTTTTTAAATATTCATTGAGAGTACATTTTACAGTAAATGTTAAATAAAAACATCTTATTTATGTGTTAATAAGTAATGAAAACAGCAACATAAACGTGAAATTACTATGACCATTTATGTGAAGCTGCTTTGACACAATCTACATTGTAAAAGCGCTATACAAATAAAGCTGAATTGAATTGAATTGAATTGAATTGAAATGTCCGAAACAAAGCAGGAGAGCATTCGGATTATCATGAAAATGTTAGGCTGAATGTCATGACTAGGGCTTTTCTCGACAAACAAAGCAGTATCACTTTTCTGTTAGGCTAACATTCTTTGTTTTTATGATGAAATGATATGGTTGTAAAATGATTTAAACTGAATGTGTGCGTATATGACATGAATGGAGTTTTGAGCAAGATTTGAGAGCAGCTCCACCTTTTACTCCTAATTGTTTTTGAGTGTAGACTATAATGTGCTCTGTGTATGTATCACTGTTTTCGAAGAACATTATGCTCCGTGGGGTGCAAATAGCCTATATAATGAGGCATCATAGAGTGTAGGAACAGCTGCAAAATCAGCCAAATACTATTCAGTATGTGATAATAGCCTTTGCATAACAAACACCAGTTCAGATAGTTATACAGTTAAAACTCTAAGACTCTAAAGGATATACAGTATGCATATAATATAATATAATATAATATAATATAATATAATATAATATAATATAATATAATATAATATAATATTATATGCTCAGTTATGATTTATTATGAATACAGAAAACATTAATAGGGATGATTAAAATGCACATAATAAATAATAAAGAACATTATTTTAAATGTGTACGCTCTTAACAAGAAGTTCTTTATGTGCAACAAGAGCTATTATTTGATAATATATTGAATGTTGCCGTCTTGTTTAAACCTGAAGTGCTGCTGTCGTGCACACGCTGGCCTGTATGTTGTCAAAACAAAGCAGAATAATGAAGGCAGAAGTGAAAGGTCTGAGCGAGACTTGTGTGCAATTTTCCTCTTTTCATAAAGGCAACGGCTTGAAGAGTTCATAATGCGTGCACTCATTTCTCCTCGCTTTGTGTAGTCCTAAGGCTTATAGTCATTTCTTTGTAACAGTACATCTTATCTTAAAATATTTCCTCCCTCCTCTATTGGGGTTTCCATGTCCTCAAGCGGCCAAGAACAAGTTGCGGCTCATTTAGTTATATTATGATATTAAGGCAATAATCAAGTCCTAACTGATTATTCTGCATAGAAGATTTGGAGAGTTTCTTAAAAGGGCCTCTATTATGCTTTGTACAATTTTAATTCATTGAAGAAATGTTCTATAGAAGTATATTTTTGTAATTCTATAACTGGAATAGGTCAAGTAAATAATAATAAAAATAACATTTTAATTCTGAAATTTTCTTTCCAAATCGGGAACAATTTATTTTGATGGTCCATTTTAGTATTATAGACTGTCTGATTATTCTCTGTTTATACTGCTCCTTTAACAGACTTTTATCTGACTATAAGAAACTTTGCAAGTACATGTCAGCTTACCCTAACCCTTTCCCCAACCTAATAGTCAACTTACAATCTAATGAGAATAAGATAACTTAAATTCAACAAAAGGACCATCCATCAATAAAGTGTGACCCCCAAATCATTCCCACCCAAGGCATGCTCAAGCTTACTACATTACTAGTGTATTGTCGCAATCTCCTGGAGATGCAGGTTCATTTATCTAATATACTAATACACGTGCGATTTCCTCCTAAATGGCTTATACTGATAGATAGCCATTCACCATGTGTGTTTTATATTTCTTTTGACATAACCTTAAATTTAAACATAACCCTGAGTTTTGACATAACCCTGTGTGTCGGCTTTCACACGTCTCACTCTGTAAATTAGTGATCTAAACTGGCAAGACTTTAAAATGCACACAAATGTTTTGTTTATTGTTGTCATGGTACCCAATGCAAGAGCTGTAAATGTACTGCCCTCTAATGGATGGGAGAGCAATATCTAATTTGCATTTAAAGAGACACACACACAATGCTTCTGCCTAAAAAGAGGCATTTAGAGGCATTTATAACTTAATATACATATTCTGGGGACACCCAAGACTTATAGTTGAAGACAGTTCTTAATTCTATTTCAAACATTTCTAAAGCAATGTTTAAAAGAGCTAGAACATTTTTTCTACAGCATTATTTTTCTTATTATTTGTTTTAGCTTGACTGGAATATTATTATTTAATTATTATTATTAAAAACTGCTAAGATCAATATTATTAGCCCCCTTGAAACATTATTTTTTTATTTAATTTTTTATCTTGGCTACAGAAGAAATCACAGTTGCACTAAAACCCAACAGTCAACAATAGCAAATGAAATGATTGTAGTTAACTCAAAATTGACTAAAAGTTGATTCTACTTATTTGAAAAGAGTTTTGAACTCAGTGTTGAAGGTAATGTGTTAATTAAATACCTCATTACTTCAACTTAAATGGAGTATTTTTTTTTTTTACTTAAATGCTTTGTAGCAATCGGTTTCCTGAAACGATTTGAGTTGCCTTAACTTATTGGGTTTTACAGTACTCAGTTGGTTTGAGTTCTCTTTATTTATTGCGTTTTACTGTGCTCAATTTGCTTCATTTACTCAAATGAATTAAGTTCACAGTACTCATTAGGATTAGTTTTTGATCTTAATTGGTTTGTTTCCTCAAATGGTTTGAGTTATTTTAACTTTTTGGGTTTTACTGTGTCTAATGGGCCTGCCTAACTTGCATAGTTAACCTAATAGCTTTACACTATAAAAAAGTTGACTCAATTTAAAATTTTAAGGCAACAAACTTCAGGACATTTTTGAGTTTACTCAACTTAAATCAAGTCAAGTGCATAATTGGGTTAAAAGTTGAGTCAACCCAAAAATGTATAGAGTGCAGTTAATTACTTTGTATTGATTTTATTTTACATTCTTTGGTGATACAAAACAGATGTTTTGGCACAATGCCTTCCTCAGTGTGACACAATCCTCTCACTCAACCCGTTCTTCCCACAGTCAATCACATTACATCATTAGTTAGATGGCCTAATCTCATTTTCAATTCATCCATTCATTTTCTTTTCGGCTTAGTCCCTTTATTAATCTGGGGTCGCCAAAACGAAATGAACCGCCAACTTATCCAGCCTATGTTTTACACAGCGGATGCCCTTCCAGCTGCAATTACTGGGCAGCATACACACTCATTCACACTCATACACTATGGCCAATTTAGCCTACCCAATTTACCTATAGGGCATGTTTTTGGACTTGTGGTGGAAACCAGAGCATCCAGAGGAAACCCCACGAACACGGAGAGAACATGTAAACTCCACACAGAATCGCCAACTGACCCAGTCGAGGCTCGAACCAGCGACCTTCTTGCTGTAAGGTGAACGTGCTACCCACTGCGCCACCGTGCAGCAATTTTCATTTCAACATACTCAACAAATAATTACCTTCACCTTTAAAAACAATATTTCACAGGAAAATAACCAACGCAATCTCACGGCAATTCGTAACTTTTTGATTTAGTGGCTTAATTCGTATGAAGTCGTACAATCTAATCCGTACAATTTTGTACAATTTGCTTATCACCCAATGACGGTTGGGGTTAGGGGTGAGGTTGGGTGCCAGGCCTCCTTTTTAAAATTGTACATTTTCGTACGACTGAACTCTTATGTACTGAACTCATCATATGACTGAACAATAATTATCAACATTCACTTATTCATGTCTACATCAATGCAATGAAACTCCGACAGTCCAAACATTAAAATACATTTTCATCACATTAAAATCCATGATTCACAATATTATAGCTAAACAACAAACCACTAAAGAAACACAGAAAGGTCCAACTCCTCATTTATTCCTCTTGGTGTAGGTGATTTAATTTTATGAAACCAGAATGCTTCTTTATTATTCAGATTACCTCCTCTATGTGACAAAGTAGTTATTTAATGAGTGCGAATCATAGCCTTCTGAAAAATAGTATTGACAAGATTAACGCACCAAAGAAAGTTTAAAATCCGCGAGCGCGCAGTGCAGACTTTGTTACTATACAGTGTAGTTAAGCCTCTAAGTCACACTTTAAGCTGAATACTAGTCCTGCAAAACTACTAGCAAAATATTATGGACAGTCATCAAGCAAAATACAATAGTTGATAGAGAAATTACAAAAGAAATGAGTTATTAGCATAA